TTTTCCCACTGAAGAGGTGCTAATGCATCCGATTGCGTTTTTCGCCACTTTGGGTGTTTTAGAGCCTGAGAAGTGTCATCTCTCTTGAGCTGTTCGACAGTGCATGCTTGCAACGCTCAAGAAGAACAGCATTAACAAACTGGCTAATCCTCTCCCAATTGGATTATAAGTGGGGATTATGTGGCGGAGAGGGAAGCACTGCTGTGTCACTTATGCCGGCGCTCCAATCATTCATCCCTACATAGCCATGGCCACGAAGTAGTTAACAATCGGTAGTGGTTAGAGGAATACTAAATAAGAGCGATGAATTTGTTCAGGCTTTAGTGTAAGTAAGTGATAGCAAAGGCAGAGGAGAAAGGAATTAACAAGCACTCATAACATTTTGCATGTTGAGCAATTATTGGAACGATATCTTAAATTTTTTTCTCAGCTTCCATGATAACTTATTGCAATACCTCGTCGGACTTCTGTTTACTGGTGTCAGTTTGCTATTCTCTACAAAGAAAGAACCATTCCTGGTGTGGGGTTTAAGAGACGGAATTTTTTGTTGTGAAAGATCTAACCACCTGATACTGCTCTAAGGATATATTTCACATCCCATTCTAGACACACGTTTATGTCAAGGACAGATGTCGATCGAAAGGTATTTTGCCTAGCCTTTGAGATAGTCAAGCAGTGTCTGACATCTCAGGAACATTTTTTAAGGATTCCTATGTCATGTTGGTTTTTGGCCTTTTCACTTACCAGTTTTTTAAATCTCTCCTGAAAATTATCAATTCTTTATCAGGCAGTGCCCTGCAAACCAACAGTAAAGAAGCAACCAACCGATTCATAGTGCTCAGAAGTACGAACGCCTTTCCTCTCCAAGTTAAGACTTGGCAGCTTGTCATCAGCCCCCAATCAAGAGAACGGCTTTCTAGTCTCCTCAAAAACCTCTAACCCCCATCAACAGAGCTGCAAGAGTTTGTTGGTCAAAACACATCGCATTCCTCTCTACATCTGCTGATTTCACATCCTTCAAAATGACACGTTTGGAGCCTCGTTGAAAGGGCTGTCCACAACTCCGAGTAGTCATTAGTGTCTTTGACTACTGACACGTCATTTAGCCAAATCTCAGGGGTAGCTCTACCAACAGGTCAAAATTTGCCCGCCAATTGATTATAACCAACTTGAAATGGTCTCTCAGTAGGCACAAAATATCGACTTGCTGTGTTCACTCACTTATGTTAAGAACTGATACTCCCTCCATCCCAATATTTGACATAACTATAAGATGCAGGTTTGTGACCCCTGCAGCTGGCAAAAACAGAAGTTACCACACACATGTGCAACCCTGACAGCTACTAACGCAGACCATAAAACACGTGTGAAGTGGACACTTTGCAAGTGACCACAGAGTATATGCACCCATTAAAAATTATTAAGCTTGATGACTGTTGTGCACACCCACGAGGCAGTGATAACGCAAGGAGGCAAACACACTCACTCTGCTTCTCATTGCACACTTGGAATGCTCCTCCCAACACATTCAACACCTCAATCACTGTGGCGTTCTGTACACCGCTACTGTTGATGCCCACTCCTACGATGGTTGGTGGTGCCTCTTTCCATCGCTGACATATCTCCCACCTCGTCTGGTTGTCAAACAGCCTCACCCCACCAACCCCAACTCCCTCCAATTCCACGTGTGCCAGTAGCCATGTCATCTTCCCCTGCTGCGAACAGGCTCGTTGGATGAGGCGGTGGAACAGGAAGTGCACACGCTCCCAATGTGGTGAGTGAGTAGTGCAGATGACAAGAATGAGAGCAAGCAATGGCAGTGCAGTGGCTATGGTCACC